CGACTGGAAGCGACCGAATAGAACCCCATGGGCTCGCTCTTGATCTGCTGATCGAACATGGATGTCATAATGTCAGCCTGCTGCGGTTGAACCAGCTGCTGAGACTGCTCGTCCTGCTGCTGCGCTGCTTGCTGATGGGGGAGCAGAGTCAGGTTGCGCTTGACAAACTGCTCATATCCTGCGTACCAATCCACCTGCGTGCGTGAACAAAGATCTCAGCGGTACGCCCTGGATATGGGAGGAGGGACGCGAGGGGGGGAGGGGAAGCGGCGTCAATCAGCGCGCGAGCATCACCCGCCGACGAGACGGCTGCGGCGCGCGCGGTCCGGCCGTGTGTCAGGTTAGACACCCGAGGTCCCGCTTTGACATTTATCTTTGACAAGTGACAGAGGGTAGCCAGACACGATCAGCTGATTGCATAACTTTTAACCGCGGGGCGCGTCGCGCCACGGCACGGACGCCACGGCGGAGGGACCGTCGGTCGGGGTCGTCGGTGGCGATTGACGCGAGCCGCTCTATTTTTAAAGGGTCGGCCGACGGAGAAAGCGGCGAAAATATAATCGGCGAGCGAGACCGGATTCCTCTCGCCGAGTGGAAGAGGGGGAGGGGAGGGGGAGAAGGTACGTGGTCCGTCGTGTGCGCGTCTCCCCTCGGAGGGAATAAACGAACGGGACGCGCTCGCCCGCACGATACGAACCTTTGCTGATGTAGTGGTCCGGGTCTAGGGTCGAAAAACGTCGCGCCTCATCGAGCGCACCGCCTCCCTGCGTCGTGCGGCTTCACGGGCAATCGCGAAACATTTGTACGGTCAAATTTGTTTTTCTCCGACACAAAATATAAGATGGCTGCTACTATATTTCGCGACGGGCACCCACACGCGCGCACACGCACGCACACGCACGCACACGCGCGCGAGCCGCGAGATTGCCGTCGAGCGGCGCGGCGAGCCGCGCCGCCTGATTGGCCGCTCGCCTTAGGCCGCGCCCGCCCTCCCCGCCGTCCCCGACTCGCTCGCGACGATTGGACCTCGCGTCGTGGCCGAGCGTTTGCGACAAACGGAGTCACAGGTCACAGGTAATTCGAAGTAAACGCGAGCTCGACAACGTTTTAGGTATTAAAAATGTATTAAACGTACGAGAAACGCGAAGAACAGGATAACGGATGCGCGTCGATTGATGCAAGATCGAGGCGATACGAAGGAGCTGATACTCGCGATTTCTATAAAAAAAAAGGATCATTTAAAGTACCAATTGTTGACAGATGACGTTGTCACAACAAGAGCTCCGATATACCCGTCGCGTGACACGACATTTGAAAATCCGTAGAATTCCACGACGAGGGACCCAGAGGGACCAATCGCGCGACCAATGGCGCTCGTCCTGCGAGGGAACGGAAGCTCCTCATTGGCCGTGCCTCGATACACAGACTTCTACCGATCGGTTCTTCGTCAGCTGCACCGTTTGCACTCTCCGGACACGGGGATGAAACGGACTGTACGATCGAGCGTTGGTGGGAGAAAGAGAGGCGGGACGAGACGAGATTACGAGAAGCGCGGACAGGTGCAGCTTATGACTCTTGTGAGTGAGAGCCGAGACGCCGAGAGAGCGAGAGAGGACGAGAGATCTCACGGGGCCCGCACGTTGATGTCGTTCGGTGCGTCCAGGAGGAGAACGGTGATTTGAAAAAGCGCTATATTTACACGGCGGCTTCGCGGAGCGGAGCAAAAAAAATTGTATTCTCACAACAGCGGCCTATACACCGATACCGCTTTACGCCGAGCAGGAATTTGTAACGGTAAATATCACATGTCGGCACAGTTAGATTTGATACTCCGACGAAACGGCCGCGTTACACCGATCTAATATCGTACAATTGTAGCGCAAATTTGTAGCGTATTCTCTCTCGTACAAGTCCTCGACAATAGCACGCGCGGGCGCGTGTGTGTGTGTGGTGTGTGCTCCGGGAAAGATTTTAGACGTTAGGAGTTAGGATAAGACGAACGACGTCCCGTACGACGATAGACACGGTATATTAAATTGTAAATATTGTAATAACTCTCTCCCCTCCGATAATAGCATTCGCTTTTCATGTCCATGAAGGAGAGATGCTCGACTAGCTATTGTTTTCAAGTCGATCATGATCGTCTCGCTCGAAGGAGACGATCAGTTAACGTACGTTTAACGTGTGTTCTAGACTGGAAAAAATGGCTGTACCGTCAGAGACCGTCATGAACACGAATCTCGATGATCCCATAACGAAGGCGGTGGTCGATAATATAATGGGCAATCTGCCCACGAAAAAGCCTCTCGTTCGATGCGAAGACTGTGACCTTTCCTTCACGAGCCAAGCGGTATTAGATACCCACTTACAAGGTGCACGTCATGCTAAACAGGTTAGTAATAAGATGTACATTAAGTATCGGATGCCCAAGTACAGTGTACATTATTTAATATATGTTGTGTTACAGGTGAGATCTAAGAATATAATGGCAACTCTCGAGGAAACAAAGATCTCATTTTCCAAGGATGAAGAGACAAACGGGCTCAAATGCAATGTTTGTAACGTGTGCCTGAACTCTATTCAACAGTTACAGACGCATCTCAATGGTAATGAAAGTATTAAGTATTACTTGCGATATATCATTAAATTCAGCATAAAGTTAAGGTAATATTGAAAATGACATGAAATATGTATTTGCAGGAACCCGTCATAAAAAGAAATTAATGAGAGGTAATAATAAAGCCTATATGGTAAGAAAAACACTGCCATATGGTCTTAAAACTAATCGCTTCATGTACCTGGATAAAATAGAGAAAAATACAGTTGTACTTGTTTATAGCTTAGTATTGTTCGCATTCGCATGCTTGACGCTACTGCTCACTTTTGCTTTTCACTTCTTTCTATGAATTAACTATGTGGAATTAACTTGCTTGCCATTCGCATAACTTTTATTGTTGTAGAATTTCAGTGCTAGTAAGCGCTTAGTGATAATTGCAAATTTGTTGTTATTCTGCGTTATTATTTATTATTATTTATTTAATATTTAATTATTATTGAAAAAAAAAATTAGTAATATATTATATTTGTTTGCTTATTAACATGTTATCGTGAAAAGCAGCTTGATCACGACTTGTTTGCATATGTTACATTTAATAAACTAAGTTTGTTTGACTGTACCTCTTAATTCCTTCTCATGTATAAATTTTACATATGTATTACTTTTTTATTTACTATATTGCTGTGTTATAGAAATATTTTTTGTTATTTTTTAATGACTGCTTTATATACTATGAAAAATATTTCATGAAAAATAAAGAACAACAAATAATGCGAATTATTAAATTTTCGTACAATGGCGTTATATATACATATATGTATGTGTCTATTTTTCTAAATTTATAATTTAATTTTTTTAAATAAAGTAAGGAGCGACTGTTTTCATATAAAACAAAGATTCTATGAATTTCAAAGTAATCGTAATAGACATATTAATAAAAATCATGTAAAAATATTTGGTAAAAAAAACACATCATATATAGGTATTAATATTCGATCCCTATATTGCTATAAAAAGTTTGTAAATTAATGGATTACTTTCGCATGAAAATACGCTTTATTTTAACATATTGCAGAGATACTCTTAGTAATTTTATATTATTAAGATTATATGCGCTCATTAATGACCAATCTTTTTATAGCATGAATGTAGTGTTCAAGCTGATTTATTATCACAAATTACCGCTTCTGCGGCTGTGATATATAGATAGTGTTGATCGCACATTGATGCTTAGGTGAATGGGATGGCAAAGAGGTTGTCACCCAAGGTCCCTCGTTGAAATCGACTGGTAGTGCGCAACAATCTGTTCCCGTAAAAAGGAGTTTACATACCTGCGAAATATGTAACAAGTTCTTCAACTCTCCGTCTCAATACACTGTGGTACAATAATTTTATAAATATTTGCGCACATTCAATTTTATCTGGATACAGTATTTCACAATTGTCACTTTTTTCTTTCTTTTTGCAGTATCTGCATAATTTTTTCGACACTTTATATAATTTGCATTATATAGAAATATCGAGTTCGTAATGTACGATATACTTAAAATTTAATATCGCCCGTTTATATATTTGCAGCATATGAATTCGGAGAAACATGCTGACAAAGTGAAGAGATCTAGGGATCCAAATAAAGGATTTCTTCCATATCCGTATCGGAGAAAAGCAAAACGAAATATCGCTTCCAGGAATCAGATATCATCTTTGTCAAACAGCTTTGTATCGAACCCATATTTTACATATCAGCCATAAGTTACATAATTTGCACATTTTACTTTGAGTTATATTACGAGATCGTTTCTAATATATCTTATTAACTAATAAATCATAATTATATAAATATATAACAAATGTAAATATACATATTTGTAATTTAAATTTCCGTAATTTTTTTCTTTTTAAAGGATTGCAACATTTTTATTCAGAAGGAAAGAAACAGGAATTTTTTTTTTCAAATAGCAATATATGAAAGCAGTCAACCGAGTTGATTAATCATCTTAATATTAAAATTGAATAAAAAGTTTTTGTGTAAAGAGTTGTAGAATCCATCATTGTTTAAATCATCAGATGAGATAATAAGAGTTACAAAATTATATATAGCGATATAATGATATTATTTATGTATATTTACATTTTACTCTGGCTGTCAAAAATTATATATTGAACTTAATGAACTGTAAAATTTAAGTTGATGTATTCACAAGTTCCATTCTAAGTCACTTCGTGAATAGATTGTACATCATCTTGCGAGAATCCATCACGTTCAGGTTCAGACTAGAAAAGAATGCAAGGTGTTAATATTTCAAGTTCATTTTTCAATATAACGCGATATTTAGTATATCTGATATATATTATTTTCTGGCATTACTTGAATTATGTATGTTTTCAATAAACGCCGTAATTCTGCGTTCTGTGTTCGTAAAGATTCCACTTCAATATTCAAACGATGTCGTTCTTTTAATATTTCGTGATACTTTTTAAGTCCGATCAATAAACCATCCCAAAGTCGTTCCTTCTGTGCTGGGAAAATTTCACTGTATCGCTTCCAAAAATCGGTCACATCCTGAATTGTCATATTTCGGGATACAACTGTCTTTTTCTCCATTAATTTTTCTTGAAATGTTTCTGGCATCTCTTTCCATTTAACAAAATGATATCTTTCTATGAATTCTCGCAATGCTCTGGTGACAAACGTAGCTTCAATTTCAAGCAAGTGTCCCTTGTCACACAATAAGCGTCGTTGCATTTGATCATCGTCTGTACGAAATGAATAGAATTAATATTAATTTTATTATCTTATTAATATAAAATTTCCCGCGGCTCTTAATTTCCGCTCATTAAATTCGGAAGTAAAAGTACGTGTACCCTTAACGATATCACTAATAGATGCATGAGAAGTTGAAGTACATTCCGCGATAGGAAGTAACGTTTCAGTTGAAGAACTTCGAGACGAAGCGCCCGTGATGCTCGTATCATCACTAGGAGTAGATGATTTTTCGTCACAGATTGCTTCTTTAACGGCGGCAATTAATTTAGTTTCGTCTTCCGTGAACTCCTCAGCAACTCCACAGACATCTCCACAGACTTCTTCAACGCTGATATGTCAAATATAATATTGCTTATAAAATTATTAAATACGTTGTTTAATCGTAACCGTCTACTTACTCCGTTTTCAGCGAAGGAGATTTAGTAAATTCGTCATCGGTGGAGCTGCTTATGTCCTTGCTCATGTCCTTACTACACACAGGACAATATGCATATGGCAGAAAGAAATTCAAGAGAAAGCCAAGCTCCTTCTCGGATTTAATGTTTAACGCCTAATAATATACGACAATGTTACAACGAAATGATATGAGATATCTCGTAAGTACGTTTACCTGGAACACATTATCCAATCGTATGATCAACTGATCATTCGCGGTGTAGGGTAAGAGCAGCTCGAGCAATCTATCTTCGATCAGATAATCACAACGATCGGCAATGTTCTTAATAATACGATTCAGCAATCGTCTTTCTAAATTGATTTCCTCGATGGTGCTAGCCGGTTTGTAAGATTCACATATTGTCTTCTTCTCGTTGATCAATCTGTTCTCTTGGAGAATGCAAGCATGTACGTGTCAGGGAAATTTGTTGCGGGATTGATTAAAAGAAGGTTTAATCGATCGTTACCTTCTTCTATAGTACACATCACACTACTATAAGACGGCAGATCTTTCTTTTCTAGCAAGGTTTGTTCAGGTGGACTCCACTCCATGCCCAATGCTTGTTCGTATATGACTTTGTCAGCATTTAAAATCTGAAATGCATTAGTCTTTTAACGTCGATACAATTAAAAACCTATTTTAGCGTACCTTATCGAGCAACTCATTCGCATTTTTCGCATTCATATCCCAAATTTGCATGTACTTCTTGTCGTTAATTCTCGTGAAGTGGTTCGACTTTTCTACTAAATCCAAAATATTCTTGTGCGCTTTTATGACCTGATCGGTGAGCCTCTGTATCTCAAGTCTCGTGTTCTCTTCCAATTCGGTATAATTTTTTTTCAAACCATTGATTATATCTTGAAGTCTGAAAAACACGCCAGTTTACTGCAGATTAATCATAATTAATTGTCGCGATCTCGAGGAGCGCGAAGCCTTGCTGTATTCGATCGTATGGAATAATTCGATTTGCATTCAATACCGACTTATTAATTCTTCTCTTTTGCTGATTTTTCACTATGGTGTTTTCGTCTTCTCGTCGCTTGAGCACGGCATAACTGTAGTCCAGTTTCTCGACGTTCATGAAACACAGCGCTTTTGTGCTCTGCACCTCCTGCTGGAGCTTCTGAATCTCAAGCTCGAAGCTGATTTTCTGCGCCCGGAACTCCTCCTGATGCTCGATCACGACTTTCTTCATCTCTTCCTCGTACTCGCGCATTATTTCCTTCCGCCTGTCCAATCCCGCGAAACTGTCCTCCCGTAGCTTTTTGTACAGCGCTTCCCACTTTTCCGAGAGATTTTCCAGCAGCATTTTACGCTCAGACTCCATTACGTCATTAATAAGCGATAACTCGCAACGGTAAGCTTTGGTCATAATGTTCATCTAGATAAAATATACGAGTTCTTAATACGGGCGAAGTCATGTTAATATCATTATCAAAAGAATATACACATATAACTTTATATATCTATATTTAACTATTTATATCTATATAGATCTATATCTAACTATATATCTGTATCTTTATATGTCTATATCTAACTTGATTGTCCATCCTATTGATCAATAAATCTATATCCTCATTCTGACTCTTCTGGTCAGTAACGAATTTAAGATCGGCGTTCTCCAACTCTTGCCGCAGCTCCGCGATGACGGCGTCTTTCCTCTCCATGATCTCCAGACACTTGGCATTTTGGGCCTCCATCTCCGCGTGTATGTCTAACGGGTCCTTGGACGCGAGTATGTTTGACCACTTCTCGTTGATCACCCGGTACCTTCTCATGCATTCCTCGTCATCCTCCTCGAGTTTCCTCAACAACGTTCTCCTGATTTCCTGCGCCTCCCTCCGTCGCTGCAGCTCCCTAGCATCGTTCGCCACCTTCACGGAAGTCACCTGTACGCAATTTTATCAGTTTGATCTCTTTCGTTAATATTTTTAATACGTCGCGAAAATATCTAACTTAATATAATTATATAAATGGTATAATTTCGTTATGCCAACCACTTCGTCCCCTTCCACCGACAAGTTTTCCAACAGTTCAGAACTAGCAAGTATTTGTCTTTCGGTGAGCGTCTTCTCGACAACCTCTTCATCTTCAGCATCTGTTTTTCTGCAAAAGAGATCGTCACAATTAATATTAGACGGAGAAAAAAAATCCGATCTTTGAAAAGAGATCGCTACAAAGGCGGCGAAAGATAAAATTGCGAAAATGCGAATATTACGAGGAATATTTCTAAAGTTCTGAGAATTGTGCTCTGAATCTTTTATTTTATTCAATTTCGTCAACATTACGTTTTAGTTCTTCAATATATATTCCATTTAACTGAACACACATTTATCTCGGCGTAAAACCATTTTTTAAAGGCCATCTTCGAAAAACTTTTGAGGGCGCGATTTCCGAGAACTTTGTAAACATCCCTCGTAGTTGCGCAACATATAGGACATAATCATTCATTATCGTCCGCACATTGTGTGTGTGTGTGTGTGTGTGTGTGTGTGTGTGTGTGTGTGTGTGTGTGTGTGTGTGTGTGTGTGCGGGCGGATTATTCAATTTTTTAAGAATAAATCGAGGGGGGAGGAGAAGGTTGCGAATCTTCGCAGATTGTTATTTTCAGTCAGCCGAGTGTCAGAAGGGAAGCGTTAATCCTTACTTAGTTAGCGCTTCTAGGCGCCGCTGAATACGGACGCGGCGCGCTAATTTCCGCTCGTTCGGATCCGACGACGTAACGGACGGCTCCTCCGCGTCCTCCGCGAACTCGGGATATCTGTCATTCATTATATTTATCTCTATTCGCCGCGTGCGTGCGAAATGCGTCGCGAAAAAAAAAATTCAGGGCAAAGTTCAGAGGGATATTCGATTGTGAATGTGAACGCGCGTTTGAAATGACAGAGCGGCTATTCGCGCTGAAACGGCAAAATGCTTTTTAACGTTAGCGAACGTTCGTTCTCTCTGTAATACGGGACATACAGCGTTTGTTTGTTCAATATTCGGTCTCCAAGTCGAAGCGACGACACGGACACGCGATTTCTGCGCGTCGCGAAGCGTACAACCGACAGGGAAAAAAAGAAAAATATTTCTCTTCCTTTTCCTTCTTTCTCCTTTTTCTTCTTTGCATTTTCGTTATTTGAAATAATATTTTCGAATCGCCGTTGGTAGAGGTGCCCTTCATCACGTGTTAAATGTATGTATATACATATATGCGTATATTATAGATATATAGATGTATTTTTAGATGATAATACAGTCAGGTGACAATAGCCGCTGTTGATAACTATAATATCGCCTTGATAGCAATGCGTTGCGCTGAGAGATGTCACTACACATCAAATCGACGGGCTTTGCTGCCAAATAGGCCTCTGCTCGTACTAGTAGTAATCTATTTTTTTCTAATAAAAGTACTTTCGATGTCCAGCGAAATGGGCTTAATCTCCTTGAATGCCAATATTTACTATGTTTAATGAAAAAAAAACTCGATGTACATACAGGCATAGGAATGATCGAGATTCGCTCATTCATTGTGGATTGATACTCCGTTACATACATTTATTTACACATTTCATACATACATGTTTTTAACGAGCGACAGTGCAATAAATATGTGAGAAAAAGCTGAAACTAGATGCAATCTAATTTAACTAGATGCAATCTAATTTAAAAATAATAAGAAGAATGGGAATAAAAACGACATCCATGTACGCGTTTGATGTGGATGAACCGGAATAGCGGAAGCTAAAAATCGTTTCTTATTTATGTCTCTAAATTAAAGAAAGAACCTCGTAACATCTGCGGGGACCTGATATACGCACAGTCATTTAAGCTTAGCAAACCTAAAAACTCGAACTCGACATGCTGCGAACATTAGGCCTGTTCGTTTTAGCTGAACTTGCACACTTCATCTTTTCTCTTTTTCTCTTCAGCGTAAGTTCAGCTAAGACGAACAGGTCTATTCACACACATCTATATACATTACACACACATACACGCGTCTATTAATTTTTTACCGAATTTTTAAAATATAGCTAAAAAGTAGGACTCATATATATATTTGATTCAATAGCGGGATAACGAAGGCTAAAGCTCCAATTTTTGATTTCACCCTTGAAAAGGCTGCGTCGATGTAACTGCTGAATAAGCGCGAGCGAGAAGCGTCGTCATTAAGCAGCGCGGAAAGCCATTGGGAAAATCTGACAAAGCCGAAAAAGCGAAGCTCCCAAAAACGCGGCGGTAACGAACGGGGGATGGGCGAATGGACCGGCGAGTTCCACACCGTGTATTCATACATTATTATCTCCGCGCCGAGTTTACGTAACGCGTCTCGATCGCGATTAGCTCGGTTAGCGCACGACCGAAGGGGGTAGTGGAGTACACGCGGATATATGGATATATACATGTGTAAGATGTATATTTATCTATCTAAAGCGCGATATTAAAGTTGAACGATCAGGACGCGCCGCTATTATTGCGTCTCTCGTTATCGTCTGGCGCGAAAGGTATACGAAAGCCGACGCTAATGCGCCCGATTTATCTCGTCTCGTGCGTTACCACGCTCTCGGTGTCGTGTCGTAACCCCTTCGGGCAGCGCGACGGGGGTACGGGAAGGGGCAGTGCGCTTCAATGACGAGCGAAGAAATAGCTTTATCCAGTGCGATAAGTGCCGTCATCAATCGTCTCGCAGAAGGTCCAAGATAATTGTAGCGAAACCGCTATAAGCCGCGGTTCACGCTCTCTGTCTTTCTTTCTCTCTTTCTCTCTTTTTCTCGGCCAATCGCGCTCTCCTCGAGACTCGATACACGCTCGATGAATTAAGACGTACGCCTACGCACGCATGGTATTAAGAGCATCGCGATCAGAGCAAAGTACATGTGTGCCGCGACAATGCGCTCGTTTGTATCGGTTAATGCCGCGCGTGTCCCCAGGTGTCCCCGTTTCTTACTTCCCCGTTCCAATTTGGATTCGTTCGATTATCGATAGACGAGGCAATTCCGCTAACTTCCATTGCGCTAGGCGGACGAGTGGATTGTCGCGGCGATAACGGATTGTCGCGATGAAGTTGGATTGCATTGCGCATAACGGAAAACGACGCGCGCGCGCGATGGCAAACGCACGCGTCAAGTATCTATACATATTTAGGAAGAAGTTTTACGTAAACGAGGGTATACTTTCAATAGGGATATGTATATAGAAGAAATAAAATAAGTCGCACACATTGTATTGTAAAAAGATGCAAATATATTTATTCGATCGCGTCGCATATTCTTTGTGATAAATAAGATATCGATGATTACGAAATTGAGGTGGTGATCATGCATGAGTACGTGGCGGTATTTATCTTCAAATTGATTAAAGATT